GCACTGTCAGTCTTAGGGATTCAATGAAGTTTTACGGCAATAGTTCGTGCATATCTGTTAGGGGAAAAGGCAGTTTCGTCAACCAGATTGTCCCATCACTGATTAATTCTGCAGTTTGTAGCAGGCTGTCAAGGTTATCAAACTCAACAAAACTGTGGGAAAGAATCTGACTCTTCGCCAATGGCTCTCATTCGGGCTGATGTTGTGCTATAATAAGCTTTGACCAGATTGAGCAACTTTATTAGGAGCCCGTCAGCAAGCAAGATTTGCATGAGGCTTCTCTACCTATGGCGTCAACGGCGGTCTTGAAATCAATGAAACAGGCGGTGGTGATCTGTTGACTCTGGTGTCTGTGTTCCAGTATGTGGCGTAGACTGAAGATCTAGTCAGCACATGCTCTACCTGGACGAAATCCTTCTTGGTTAGGACGAGTGCGAAGATTGCGCTCCATCGAAAATCTATGGCGAAGGATGGTCACAAGTATTTTGGCGGCTATATCAATGAGACTGGTGCCGCGATAATTTAAACATATAGACATGTCAGCGCGCTGCGGTATCGGCAAGATGATGGACAGTGACCAGTTAGTGGGGATGATTTCTGTAGTCCATGTAGTCCAGTACAGCCACTGAAATCATTCTGTCGAAGCAGAACAGCCAGTTTGGTAGACTTCCGCTGAGATACCATCCTCACCCGATGCCTTCCGACCTTTGTGTCGTTGCAATGCCGTTTCCAGTTCTGCTCTCGTAGGTGGCTGGCATTCAATATCGTATGGAGTTCCAATTGATATCTGTAGGTTCGCAGATGAACGGATCCAGTAACTAACTGAAGTGCTCTCGCCATCGATCAATTTTGCCAGCCATATCAGTTATCACTTGACCCGAGCTATTCCGAATTGTAGTGCAGGGCGGTTTATGTTTGCTAGGTGTTTTACGTAATAGATAATAGAACTGGTGTAAGTTACCAGAGTTTGAAGCTGATTCCACGAACCAAGCTTTTATTGATCAATTTAGATTTAGAGTCTTTTTTATCATACTTGCTAACCACCTGTTATGTAACAACATCAGTAGGAGCCTGCAGCAAATGCTCTAGCAGACGCCACTTAACAACTGACGTTTCACCTTCCTTCTTCCCCCAGCTCTTCTGCCCGACATCATGGAAACTGACTACAAATATCAGACAGAATATGCCAAAAGTAATCGCTCTACATGCCGGGCCTGCAAACTGAACATTAATCAGGGCTCGCTGCGAATGGCCGTCCTGGTGCAGTCCTCGACCTTCGATGGGAAAATGCCCCTCTGGTTTCACTTTAACTGTTTTTTCAAAAAGTCGAAAGTCATCTCCACCAGCGATATAAAAAACTTTGATGGGCTGAAGTTTGAAGATCAAGAGAAGATCAGAAATGCCATGAAGACAGATGCCTTTGACCTGACCAACTTTGGTCTTAAACGTACCGGTGAAAGCAAGGACAAGTGTACCTCGTGTTCAAAAGTTATTTCGGTGTGTTTCCTCTCCCTGTCTGTTTACTATCTTTATTTTTTAAAGGATTTACTCCCTCATACTACTGATACATAATTGCATAAACTGCCGTCTTCTTCAAAAATTATGCTTGCAGAGCGGGTATCTTTCGGATTTCAAGATCTTTCTCAATTCCCAAGGAATTTTGAAATCGACGTGCACTTGCGTTTATCGTTCCCTGAGAATGCAAGCTGTATATTTTCCGTGCAACAAATGGCTGTGCTGTTAAGAAGAATTCATAAGGTTCACAAAATCCAGAAATTACTGGAGACCACGAGCAAATTCGATGTTATATAGATGCTAATTTCACGGTCTAAGAAAATCTAATGATTGCAAACTTTTTTTAACAGACGGATGTTTATTCTTTTTCAAGTACTCAACTCGAAGAAGTTGTTACCAAATAAGTACAGG